TCATGGTCTGGCGATGATTTGCCTATAGGAAAAAAATCCTCAGTATCTAAAGACGAGCACTTTTTATAAGAAAAATTCCTCAATAGCTGACGATGACTTTTTCCCATTGGAAGATTTTTTTCTTATATGAAAAAAATCCTCAGTGTCTAAAAAAAAGACTTGTTTCTATAAGAAAAAAATCCTTAGTAGCTGAGGATGACTTTTTCCAATAGGAAAAAATTCTCAGTAGCTAAGGATGACTTTTTCCAATAGGAAAATATTCTCAGTACTACTTTTACCTATTAGAAAACATTTCTAATAACTGAGGAAGGCTGATGATGACTATCCTATATGAAAAACCTCAGTATGTAAAGAAAATGACTTTTTCATATAGGAAAAACTTCCACAGTGTTGGAGTTAGGCTGTTTTTCCAATATGAAAAAATAGCACCTACGCTTGAGGACTACTTTTTTCAATAAGAAAAAATCCCAAATAGATGTGGAAGACTTTTTCCTAACGGGAAATTTCTTAGTGTTGCAGCAAAACTTTTTCCTTGAGCAAAAAATCCGTTATATCTGAGAAAGTTGTCTTCTTATAAGAAAAAATCTACAGAGGAAGACTTTTTTATTGGAAAAACTCCTCAGAGTCTAGTGAGGTTTTTTTCCTATAGGAAAAAATCCTCAGTACCTGAGGACTACTTTTTCATTAAAGGGTTTTCCCGTTTCCTATAATAGAGGAGAAAATCTCAGGGTCTGCAGATGATTTTTTTCTTATTAATTTCTCGGTGTCAGAGAATGATTTTTTATTACTAGAAAAAATCTCATTTTCAGAAGAAGACTTTTGCTTGTAGGAGAAAAAATTCCTCAACATTTTCTTTTAAGAAATGAAAAAAATGTCGAAAGTCTAATTTTTCTTATAAGAGAAACTTATTTATTTATAGCTGAGGCAGACTTTTCTTATAGGAATAAAATTCTCAGAGCCTGAGTATGATTTTTTCTTATTGGCATAAATTTCTCGGTGTCAGATGATGCCCTTTTTTTATTAGAGAAAAATAATTATTGTCGAAGAAGGCATAGTTAGGAAAAATGTCTCATCATTTTCATATAAGAAAAAAATACTCAGAATCTGAGGATGGCATTTTCTTATAGGAACAAATTTCTCAGTGCCTAAGGACTAATTTTTCCTATAAGATACGCACTTCTTAATACTTGAGTGAGAATTTTCATATAGGAAACATTTCTGAGTGTCTGAGGATGATTTGTTCTTATTGGCACAAATTCCTCAGTGTCAGAGGATGACTTTTTCTTATTGGAAAAAATCATTTTCCGAAGAAGCCTTTTCTTATGGGAAAGAATTCCTCAAAAACTGAGGATGTTTTTTTTTTTTGAAAAAATTCTTCATGTCGATGGACCACTTTTTCTTATAGGAAAAAAATTCTCAGTGCCTGAAGACTACTTTTCCCTATAAGAAAATCATTTCTCAATAGCTCCGGTGTCTGGGGATGATTTTTTCTTATTCTTATTATCGGATAGGAAATAATTCCTCAGTCACTCAAAAAAAAAAAAAAAAATCTCACGAACAAAAATATATCCCCAGTAGCTTTGAGAATCATTATTTTGTTGGTATGCCATTATCTACTTAATTTGTTATTTAGTTTTGGCATTGACAACAAAACGACCCTAAAATTACAAGCTCACAGATACAATCCGATTGTGTTGTGTTTATCCCGAAAAATAAATAACATTACAAAAAAGTTTTTCCTTTCAGTTTTCTTTTTTGTTTTGCTATTTTTTGTCCTGTCAACAAACTTTGTCCTGTTGTTATTATTTGTTAATGATTATCCCCTGACAAAAGGTGTTACTTTTTAGTAATGACATAATGACATTCATAATTTTTCACCCAGCAACCCAACCAAGCAACAACAAGATATCATTGCAAACAACAAAAATTTTCAACAATTTATTCATAAAAATTCATTTACATTTCAATTTTACAGCAATTACGGGGTGTTACGGGCCATAAAACGACCAAACGAACTGCTGAACGAACCAACGTTATAAAGCAATTTGGCAAAATGTCTGTGAACAATAATTAATTCAAGCAGAAAACCCTTAACAAAAAGCAGAAGAAGGACGACGAGGAGGAGGTGTAGAAGACAACAGATAAAACTTTATCTGTTGTTAGCTCTGCCAAAGGAGAAGGAGAGAGGAAGGAGCCAGGGGAGACCAGGAAAAACTAGAAAGACGCCAAGGCAAAAAATTGGCTTTAATGCCGGCAAAAAAATTGTAAGACATGGCTTACTATTATAAGTCATTTAATGACAAAATCAGCAGCAGCAGCAGAATCAGCTACGACAGCAGTACCAGCAACAGCCTGGGTCCCAATTTGAAACTTAGACTTTGTCATCACCATAAAGTTGGTGGATCCGCCACCAAAGAGCTATTATTTAGATTTAACAAAACTTATAATGGCCCCAGAAGTTGTAGTTGTTGTTGTTTAGGCAAAAGAAATGTAATAAAATCTCAAAATGTGACAAAATCAACAACGACGGCAATAGCAGATGAATTGAGTTTAAAAAGTCAACGAAAAATAGCAGTGAAGGAAACAAGGACAACAGCAACAACAATAAATAACAATAAAGAGTGTTTGCCACAAAGCCAAACAATAGTGCCAACCATAACAAAAGCAGCTTCATCTTTGCCATCATCGTCATTATTCACACCATCGTCAGTGACGACAACGTTAACAACACCTACATCAATATACTCAAGGACCCAGTCATCATTGTCGCCATCAACACCCTCAACATTGGCATCCTTGTCTTCCCGAACAAGAGCAAATTTAAGTTGTACATGTGATTCAACTAATGCCTGCTACAAAAACAACAATACTACCAGGAACAACAGCAGCAACAGTATCATCGACACCTATATCAACAATTCCTCTTCTGACTGTGTGTCGTCGTCCTCATCGACACCATTGTCATCATCGTTAGCTATTTGCAGTTCCACAAGCTTTAGCAATATTCTCAAACTCGGAGAATGGTGTAGAGGTGGCACGACCACAAGCCAAAGCAACAGTCGAAGCCGAAGCAGCATCAGTTGTCGCAGCACCAGCACCAATAACAACAAATTTCAGTTTACATCGACACGTTTCATTATCTTCGTTTTATATTTGGTGTTAACGAGCTGTGTTGGCGTTAGCTTGCAATTAAAAAATGGTGAGTACCACAAAAAATATAGTCACACTCCATGTAGACAGTATCTTTATATCGCCAACCTCTCGAGTAGTAAAGGGAATGAAGTAGAATTTGGTATCTTAGACCATAATAGTTTTCGGTTTCAATGTTTTTTCTGGCTGCTTTCAATCTACTCCCAGACACGATTATTATATCTCAACATCTGTTGCTTAACATGTTTTACTTTTCATAAAATTTTTAGAATATTCAAAACAAAATGTTCCAAATAAACTAAACAACAACTCAGTTACCACGACAAAATTTTCGAATATTAAAAGTTCTTCCCAAGGCACCTGAGGATTTTTCTTATAGGAAAAAATAATTCTCACATACTCAGAAATATTTTCCTGTAAAAAAAAATTCATCCTCAGTTGCTGAGATATTTTTTCCTTTAAGAAAAAATCATCCAAAGCGACTGAGAGATTTTTCCTATAAGAAAAAGTCTTCCTCAAAGTAAAAAAATAACTTTTTTTTTGCTCCGCGACAGAGGAAATTTTTCCTATAGAAGAAGACTTTCTCAGTACCTGAGGAATTTTTGCTAGTAGGAGAAGTCTTCTTCAGTTACTGAGGAATTGTTTCCTATAGGAAAAAGTCATCTTCAGTTACTGCTGATTTTTTTCCAATAAGAAAGCGTCTTTCTCAGTGACTGAGGAATTCTTTCCAATAAGAAAAAGTCATCGTATGTTGCTGAGGTTTTTTTTTCTTTGGGAAAAATTCATCCTCAGTTCCCAAAGATTTTTTTCTTATAGGAACATGTCATACTCAGCGACTGAGGATTTTGTTCCTATAGGAAAAAGTCATCCTCCGTGACTGAGGATTTTTTTCCGTATAGGAAAATGTCATCCTCAGTGACTGAAGAATTTTTTCTTATAGGGAAAATGTTTTCCTATCGAAAAAGTCTTCCTCAATGACTGGGGATTTATTCCTATAGGAAAAAGTAATTCTCAATTACTGCGGATTTTTTCATCTTGCACAAAGTCATCCTCAAAAAGTCTTTCTCAATATCTGAGGAATTTTGTCCTATAGGAAAAATTTTTCCTCAGTCACTGAGAAATGTTTATCTATAGGAAAAATGTTCCTCAGTAGCTTAGGAATAGTTTTCCCATTGGAAAAAGTCTTCCTCAGTCACTGCGGTAGTAAAATAGCATCCTCAGTTACTGAAGATTTTTTTCTATAGGAAAAAGTTATTGTCAGTACCTGAGAATTTTTTTCCTAAAGAAAAAAAAACTTTTTCAGAAACTTAGGAATATGTTTCCTATAAGAAAAAGTTCCTCAGTAGCTTATGAAAAGTTTTCCTATTGGAAAAAGTCTTTCTAAGTATGGGATGATTTTTGCTAGTGTCTAAGTATGACTTGTTCTTATTGGAAAAAATCCTTAGAAGCTGAGTATAATTTTTTCCTATTGGAGGAGGAACCTCAGTGTCTAAGTATGACTTTTCCTATTGGGAAAAATTTCTCAGTGTCGGAGGAAAACATTTCATATACGAAGAATTGCTTAGTGTCTGTGGAATCATACATAAACTGAGGAATTTGTCCAAAAGGAAAAAGTCATACTCATTGAGGATTTTTATAGGAAAAGGATAGCCATCATGAGCGACATAGAATTTAGGAAAAAGTCTTTCTCTGTTTCGATTATTTTTTTTCTTATAAGAAAATGTCTTTATCAGTAAATGAGTTTTTTTTAATAGGAACAAATTGTTTTCAGACCCTGAGGGATTTTTCCTATCGAAAAGTTTTTTTTCTTAAGGTATTCCTCAGCATCAGATGATGGTTTTCTTATCAGAAAAAGTCTTCGTCTGCAACTAAGTATTTTTTTCCTAAAGGAAAAATTCATCTTCTATGTCTGATGAAAAAATCATCCTCCTTAGTTGTTGCCAGACATAAGCCACCCATTTAAAGTTTGAATGTCATACTTTTCGGAGGTTTATTTTATCCTCTCCCCTCATAAAATCTCCCCTTCTAATTAAAACATAATTAGGCAAACATCTTGTGTAACATTATTTATCGGCTTCACAAAAGAAATTTCTCATTAAAATTCCAAGAATTTATTGCAAAAATTCTTTTTTGGCATTTGAACCATAACCTCCTTCCTCTCACAAATTCACCCACCAGTCGTCCTGCCTACCACGCCCCCCTTTCTCAAAGTGCAAATAAGTTGAATTCATTAATTATGACAATTTTTGGTCAGGCGAGAATGTCATCATTTCAAAGTTGTTGTTGCTGGCGGGTGTCCCTTTTAATTTCAACTTTAATTAAATGATAATCACTGGACCATAATTATATAGCAACAAATGATGCCGCAACAAAAACAACAACAAACGAAAAATATCAAAAACTTTTCTAATGACAAAAACAAAAAACTTGTTGACTTCTTTCTTTCTTTGTAATTATGCCAATTGGAAAATTTTGTTAGAAATTATTTGTGCTGCAATAGTTAAATAAGGTTTTCAATTTCATTACCCCCGCCTTCCCGAAGAAGGTCTTGAAAATAATCTACCGGAGGTATTGACATTAATTTAAGTAAATCCTCAACTAACACCATTGTCAACCATGAAAATAACCTGAACCGTAGCAAACAATTACAACTGAAACTTCACTGAACACAGCCACTATCCGCCCTCTTCCCGCTCCACCACCCCGATAACGGCAACAAAAACAATGACCAGAACAAAATACATGTGCAAACAATTGAAAATTCAATGCATTAAAGGGTGCCCAAGGCGAAATAATTTACATGTGGTGCCACTTGCAGAATAAACGACCAGTCCTCCGTATGCCAGCCAGCCAGGGTAGGAAACTCGACTACAACTACACTATACAATTCCACCTCTTTCTCTCCGACGACAGACGACTCTGTTTGTCTTTTGTCGTAAAGTTTCATTCCGCATTGTAGCCGACTAACAACGGAGCAACCAACCACAATCCAGGGAAATACAAACGATGCGGATCAGGAAACCCAAAGGAAGGGTCGCTTTCGCTCTTTCTCTCAGTATATCATTTCGGGACAAAAACTCCGTAGTGTCATATCGCCAAAAAATAAAAAACGTAACGAAAATTGGAGGAAAATTGTCGAATAATTTGTTACGAGTTAAAAATAAATTAAAGAAACCGGAAGGATGTTGGGTGGAGAACAGTGGGTTCGAAATATCCAGGAGAGGAAAAATTCATACTCACTAGTAAGTAGATCATTTTTTACCTACATGAAAAAACCTTCCTCAGTTGATGAGAATAATTTCGAATAAGAAAGTCGTTCTCAGTAGCTTAGAAATGTTTTCCAATAGGAAAAAGTCTTCTTTTGTAGCTGAGGAATTATTTCCAATAGATAAAAGTATTGCTCAGTAGCTGAGAACTTTTTCTAATAGCAAAAAATCTTTCTCAGCAGCTGAGAATTTTTTCCAATACGAAAAAAAATCTTCCTATGTAGTTGGAAAATTTTTCCAACAGGAAAAAACCTTCCTCTGTAGCTGAGAAAAAATTTTCCAATAAAAAAAACCTTCCTCTATAGCTGAAATTCTTTTCCAATAGGAAAAAGTTTTTCTCAGTAGCTGAGATTTTTTTTTTCAATAGGAAAAATAAGAATTTCAGTGTCTGAAGAAGACTTCAGACACTGATTTTATTTTCTATTTGGAAAAAGTCCAATATGAAAAGGAGGAGGATTTTTTCCAATATGAAAAGGTCTTTCTCTGAACCAGATAATTGTTTTCCAATAGGAAAAAGTCTTCTTCAGTAGCTGAGGAATTTTTTCCAATAGTAACAAATCTTTCTCTGGACCTGATGATATTTTTCCAATAGAAAAAACCTTTCTCTGTACCTGAAATTTTTGTCCAATAGGAAAAAGTATTCCTCAGTAGCTGAAAATTTTTTCCAATAGGAAAAAAGTCAATCTCAGTACCTGGAAATTTTTCCAACAGGAAAAAACCTTCCTTTGTAGCTGAGAAAAATTTTCCAATAGGAAAAAACCTTTCTCTGTAGCTGAATTTTTTTTCAATAGGAAAAAGTCTTTCTCAGTAGCTGAGATTTTTTTTCAATAGGGAAAACTCTTCTTCAGACACTGAAATTTGTTTCTATTTGGAAAAAGTCTAATATGAAAAGGAGGAGGAATTTTTTCCAATATGAAAAGGTCTTTCTCTGGACTTGATGATTTTTTCCAATAGGAAAAAGTGTTCTTCAGTAGCTGAGGATTTTTTTCCAATAGTAAAAAATATTTCTCTGGACCTGATGATTCCAATAGGAAAAATTTGTCTTCAGTAGCTTAGAATTTTTTCCAATAAGAAAAAGTCTTTCCTAGTATTTTTTCCATAGGAACCAATCTTTCTCACTTGCTGAGAATTTTTCCAACAGGAAAAAAACCTTTCTCTGTATCTGAGGAATTTTTTCTAATAGGAAAGTGTTTCTCAATAGCTGAGATTTTTTTTCGAATAGGAAAAAGTCTTCCCCAGACACTGAGGAATTTGTTCGAATTCGAAAAAATCTTTCTCTGGACCTGAAGGTGTTTTCCAATAGGAAAAAGTCTTCAAAGAGAATTTTTTCCAATAGGAAAAAGTCTTTCTTAGTATCTGCGATTTTTTCCAATAGAAAAAGTCTTCCTCAGTAGCTGAAAAAAATTTTCCTATAGGAAAAAATTTTTCTCAGTAGCTGAGGAATTTTTTCCCAATGAGAAAAAGACTTTCTCTGGAGCTGAAGTTTTTTTCCAATTGGAAAAAGTCTTTCTCAATAGCTGAGAATATTTTTCAATAGGAAAAAGACTTTCATAGTAGCTCAGAATTGTTTCAATTAGGAAAAAGTCTTTTTCAGTAGCTAAGAATTTTTTCCAATAGGAAAAGTCTTCCTCAGTAGCTGAGGAATTTTCTCAAAGTCTTCCTCAGAGATAGACAATTATTTCTATTAGGAAAAAAGTCTTCCTCAGTCACTGAGGATTTTTTCCTAAAAGAAAAAGTATTTTTTCTTATTGGAAAAGGTCAACCTCAGTAGCTGAGGATTTTT